CCCCCCCAACCCCGTCTCTGCATTTCCTGTAGTTTTGATACTTCCCGTATGTGGTGCTAATAAAAAAAAGCATTTAGTTGATTAGTTTAAAAGTTGATTGAGAAACGCTGACAAAAATAACGCAGTACAATAATACTTTTAATTTTATGATTGTTTCATCACCTCTCTAAAACTAATTAATCAGAACAGAAATAAAGAAGACAAAAAGTTGCTATAATCACCAGAAACAAATAGAACCACAGCTTTTTTTTCTTTTCTAACCTTTTTCAGAGACCTCGTCGACGAAATATATGTGAAATTTTAAGAAACGATATCTACTGGAAATGTCTGCTGACAACACTGTTTACCTACTTCTGTATCTTTTATGCAATTTGGTGTTATTTGACACTTTATTCGGCTGCAAATGATTCGGATTCCAAGTTAGTTTTTTTCCTGTTTTTAACTCTTAGTTTTTTTTTTTGGTCAAATATATCCACTTTTTTCTTTTTTTTAACAGTAATATGTAAATAATCGGTTCACTAATATCTGCTACTTCAGTTTTTTTTCTATTTTTTACAGTAAGTTTGAACAAAAAGCAAAAAAAAACAAAAACAAAAAACAAAAAAAGAAAAACGAAAGAAAGAAACAGCGAAAAATTATGTTAAAAAATAAACAGCAAAAAAAGAATTAAAAAATAAAATACCACCTATAATTTATTAATCATGTCAAGTTTTTTTTAATTTTTTATTTTTTTTTAAGTCATCCAAGAAGCTCATGTGTGGCACGATACAATTTTATCCCAATCACTTTTGGAGTTATTATGTACGTAACTTATATTATGGAATGCGGACATGATTATGTCAAGAGATGCAAGATAAAAAAGGTTTGAAGTTCAAACAATTCTGTTTTTTTTTCTCTTTTTCTTTTTGTGCTAAAAAATCAGAAAAAAAATTCTGCTTTTTTTTTATAATTTAGTTAAAAAACTTCTTTTTTTCCCCCTCCCCTTCCCCGTCCCTCCCCCCTATTGATACTTATAACGAGGAATAATAAAAATCTATTTAAAATCTTTTATGGATCAGAAAATAAAATAAAACGAGTATTTTCTAATGTTAAGCAAAGACTTAAAGCGCTTTACCAGCAAAAAATTTGCTTTTTTTTTTTTTTGTTTCTGACATTTTAGCAATCTATGATTGGCCATTGTAATTCTTTCTGAAGCTGGTTCATTTTTTTCTGCCTTTTTTGCCTTCTTTATTGAACGATCACTCATTGTTAGGTTTGATATCTGTTGCTAGGAAATGATATCCAATGTATAAATTTTATC